TGCGTTCTCGGGTGGCCCGTGGTGCGCACTACGTGTGCGACCACACCCCTCTCGGCTAATGTACTAGTAACATGATTAATTTCCCGAACAATTAAGTTAAACTAAGCATGAAATTGCATATAGAGGCTAAGCATGCAAGATTGCTCGGGGAATTCTATGAAAATCATAACATGGTTCGGATTATTTACTTAACATGTATCATGAATGTACGGCGATGGCTATAACACGCATGCAAGAAGATTTTAACATCTAATCTTAAATGAACATGATATTCTCGGGAACTTACCTCTTGTTAAGCCTTCGGAGACTAACTCTCGAAATCTCGGCCGTGAAGACTCCGCGTGCGGTGCGTGCGTGCTCTCGGACTTCCGTGCGGGTGGCTTGCGGCGTGCTCGCGTACGGTGCTCGGTAAAAGCTCCCGACCAATTCACACAAAAACTCACTAACTCTCGGCACTTTGCGGGTGAAAAGGAGTAAAATGGACATATTTTCCCCAAGTCTTACTTAAAAACCGAAAGTTGGCGGAGAAAAAGAGGGGGAGGCTTGCCTTATTTCACGTGAGGGCCAAGAAAAAAAGATGCTCGGCCGAAGCATGTGCATTAAGGGACAAAAGCACGGATATTCATTCACTAAAAGCCAAGGAAGATGCACGGCAATTAAGGCTGAACTCACCAAAACCCACGCATAAGAGGACAAGGCACGAACACTCACGCGGTCTTGGTCACTCCGCCCATGCATACGGACAAGGGGTGTGCACGGTCTTCTTAGCGAGATGTTGGCGCGGATAACTCGAGTCTTGGACACTCCGTCCACTAAGGTACGCACGGCATTCATGGTTTCTCGGACCGAACCCGCGCACACGGTCTTCTCCCGGACGAACACGCGCGCACGGCACTCGCATGAACTCGAACAATGCACCTCAACACACGTCAAAATGCATGACTTGAAAAATATGCTATCACTTGCACGACATTTGCGAACAATGCACGGCTATGAACATGAACTCGGAATAAAATCCGAACACTTACTAATCTCGTGATTAAGATAAATTAATCACTTAATTATGTTTAATCATCCAATTAAACATAATGCTAAATTACCAAAATTATTTCGAACGTAAACGGTACGTCGAAAATAGTTCCGGTAATTTCTGACTGGAATAACTGAAATTAATTAACTCCGAAAAAAAATAATATCGGAACTGAAATATTATTATACTGATAAAAGTCGGGATATTACATTCACTGATAGAACTTTTTCAAGAATACTGCATTCCAGGGATATTGATGTGGTGTTTCATCGGGATGAGCAATTCGGTAGGCCCCATGAGGTAGGATTTTAATGATTTGAAAGGGTCCTTCCCACCGCGGTCTGAGTGGCCCGGGGTCAGGCCCCATTATACGTTTGAGGACCAAATCTCCAACTCGGAACGAACGGGGTTTGAGTTTAGAATTGATATATCTTTCATTTCTTTGCTTGTACGCAGCATTCCTGAGCTCGGCCCGGGTACGATGTTCTTCAAGCAGGTCCAGATTAGTTTTCATGTTTTCCGAGTTGGCCTCTTCGGTGAAATGCTGAACTCGGTATGTCGGTTTTCCGAGCTCAACAGGAACCACGGCTTCTGAACCGTAAGTTAAGGAAAATAGGGTCTCGCCGGTAGACGTCCGAGTGGTAGTTCGGTAAGCCCACAGGACATGTGGTAACTCTTCAGGCCAAGCTTCTTTGGCGACGTCAAGTCGGACTTTGAGACCATTCTTTATGAGCTTGTTTATAGCTTCAACCTGGCCGTTGGACTGCGGGTGGTAAGGCGATGAGAAGAAGTGCTTGATGTTGTATTCTTCGCACAGGGATTCAAGTCGTTTGCCTTCAAATTGTTTACCGTTGTCGGTTATGATGGAATTCGGCACCCCAAAGCGACAGATAATTGACTTCCATACAAAATCGACGACCTTCTGCTCGGTTATCGTGGCTAACAGTTCGGCCTCGGCCCATTTAGTGAAATAGTCGACTACCACGATAGCAAACCGGACACCTCCCTTTCCGGTTGGTAGAGGACCTATAAGATCAATCCCCCATTTGGCAAAAGGCCACGGACTGTAGATCGATTTGAGTTCTTCGGGAGACTGATGAACATTAGGCGCAAATATTTGACATTTTGGGCACTTACGGACCCATGCAGCAACGTCGGTTTTCAAGGTCGGCCAGTAGTAACCCTGTCGCAGGATTTTATAAGATAATGCTTGTGCACCGGGGTGACTTCCGCAAATCCCTTCGTGGACTTCTTCAAGAATGTACCGTGACTCAATTTCATTCATGCATTTTAAAAGCGGGACGGAGTATACCCTTTTAAATAAAGTTCCGTGTCCAGTGTATACCGAGCTGCTCGAATTCGAAGTGCTCAAGCTTCTTTTGGGTCTGGGGGTAAGGCCCCAGTTTCTAGGTAGCGGATAATAGGATCCATCAAAGTTGGTGGTTTTTGTGATGTTACCGGATTGATGGTCGTGACCTCGGTAAGGGCAGTTGACGGTTGTTCTTGCTGGCCGATTTGGACATATTCCGCGCTCTCCATCCCGGTACTGGACGCAAGTCGAGATAAGGCATCTGCTTGAACATTAAGAGTTCGGGGGATATGCTCGAGGTCGGCGGAGAATTTTGACAATTTTCGTTTGGCCAAAGAGAGATAGGGTGTCAACCGAGGTTCTTTGACTTCATATGAACCATTGACTTGATTGACAAGGAGCTGGGAGTCTGAAAAGACTTTGAGGTGGGTCACGTTCATGGATTCTGCCAAATTCAATCCGGATAGCAGCGCTTCGTATTCGGCTTCATTGTTTTTGCCGGGAAGAGAAACTTCACCGAGTGACAGAATAACCGGTTTTCTGGATCAGCTAAGACTATCCCTGCACCTGCTCGGTTAGCTGTCGAGGAGCCATCAATATAGAGGACCCATGGTTGATTATTATAGTGAACTGTGATGGCCGGGGTAAACTCGGCGATGAAATCAGATAAGGCTTGAGCCTTGATTGCGGTCCTCGGTTGATAATGGATGTCGAACTGTCCGAGCTCAATGGCCCATTTAACCATGCGTCCCGAGGTGTCAGGTCGGTGCAGGATTTGCCGAAGTGGATACGAAGTGCGAACAGTTACAGAATGCTCTTGGAAATAAGGACGCAATTTTCGGGCTGCGATCACAAGTGCAAACGCTAACTTTTCCATCGGAGGATAACGTAGTTCGGCATCGTGCAAGGCTTTGCTGACATAATAGATAGATGATTGCAGCAATCCCTCATCGCGTATAAAAACAGCGCTAATGGCAGAATCACTGACTCCGAGGTATAAGAACAACATTTCCTCGGGTTTCGGCTTTTGTAAAGTCGGCGGAGAAGCAAGTGTCTCTTTGATACTAACGAGAGCTTTCTGACATTCTTCGGTCCATTCAAAGCGCTTTCCTTTCTTGATTGCTTCGAAAAAAGGTTTGCAACGATCTGTGGATTTGGAAATGAACCGATTAAGAGCAGCAAGTCGGCCGGTAAGGGCTTGGACACCTTTGACCGAGGTTGGGGAAGAGAGATCTTGAATGGCCTTTATTTTGGCCGGATTGGCTTCAATCCCGCGCTGGCTAACCATATAGCCCAGAAACTTTCCGGATTCGACTCCAAAAGTACACTTCTTAGGATTTAGCACCATGGAATAAGATCGGAGGATGGCGAACATGTCTTGAAGATGTGTTATATGATCAGGGGCGTGCACCGACTTGACGAGCATGTCATCAACATAAACTTCCATAGTGTGACCAATCAGTGTTGCGAACATTTTGTTGACCAGGCGTTGATATGTGGCTCCGGCATTCTTTAATCCGAACGGCATCATAGTATAACAATACAGACCTCGGGCCGAATAGAATGAAGTGTGTTCAGAGTCCTCGGGATCCATAGGAATCTGATTGTAGCCGGAGTAGGCGTCCATGAAACTCATCAACTCATGTCCCGACGTGGCATCAACCATGTAATCTATATGGGGAAGTGGATAACTGTCCTTTGGGCATGCCTTGTTGAGGTCGGAAAAATCAATACACAATCTCCATAACCCGTTGCTCTTTTTGACAAGAACAGGATTTGAGACCCACGTTGGGTATTTGGCTTCCTTGATGAACTTATTGTCGATGAGTTTTTTGACTTCTTCTTCCAACGCCTTCTGACGATCCGGCCCCAGTTTCCTTCTCTTTTGCACAACAGGCCGGACTGTTCGATCGAGGTTTAGTTTGTGGCTAGCGTCACCGGGGTCGATGCCCTTCATATCCTCGTGCTTCCAGGCAAAAACATCAGAATTCTGTTTGAGAAACGAGATAAGTTCTGACCGAAGTGGTTCCTGAAGATGACTTCCGATGCGCAATGACTTGTGGAAGACTGGTTCATCGATATAGACCAATTCCACGTCTTCTCCAGGTTCGGCTCGATCAGCTCGACTTTTTTCTTTAAACAATACTCTGGGGTCCAACTCGTCTTCTTCAAGAAGTGGCTCTTTTCCAGGTCGGCGACCTCGGTCTTCGGTTAAAGGATCCGAGGTGGAAGGATCGCCGACGTGGTTTTTTGGTTCTCCAGTCACCGCATCGTCTGAAGCGTGCTGCTGTGGGGAGGCTTCATTATTACCCATTGAAGTTGAATGAACTCCATTGGATGGGATAAACGTAACAAGTTCTCGAGCTTCTCTTTGATCTTCGAAGTGGGTTCCCTCTCCCCGGGTTGTCGGGAACTTTAATGCATAGTGAAAGATAGAAACTGCAGCTCGAAGTTTGTACAATGTCGTTCTGCCGATGATGGCGTTGTACTCATTATTAATATCCATAACCTTAAAAGTTTCCATGACGAGTTTGGTGACATTCTCCGAGGTGCCAAATCTGACAGGTAAAGTGATTTCACCGATGGGCTTTGAAATACTGCCATTAAACCCTTGAATTTGATCGTTGCAAGGTCAGATTTCAGCGGGGTCAAGACCCATCTTGTCAAAAGCTTTCAACATCAAGATACTTGAATAGGCCCCAGTGTCCACCATGACACGATGAACAGGAATACCGCATATAGGGACGGTAATAACCAGTGCATCAGAATGAGGATGGGCGAAATGATTAGCATCCTCCATAGTAAAGGTTATGGGGCAATTCCGATTGTTGAGAATATCTCTCAAATCGGTAGTGTAAACCTGTTTGCCGGAGTTGTGCGCTTGTCGGGCATATGCCTTGACCTGTCGACGGGACAATGTACTCCGGGGGTTGTTGGTATTGACCCGGTGGACGGTGATTTTCATTGGTTCAGGAGACCTATCTCGTTTACGTCCTCGGGAAGTTCCAGCAGAGTTAGAATCAGACGTCTCCGAGGTGAACATGAATACTTCTTTATCTCCTTGTCGGATGCGTTTTGTCATAGCACCTCGGTCCTCCTCATCGTCTTCATCAAAGGGTTCGATCTGACGTCCCGGACCTCGCCTCTGGGGATCCGTATTGCGGTAAAATTTTCTAAGTTGCGGATGGCCGATTAAACGCAACAATGCGGCTAACAAACTCAAACACTCATCTGTGTTATGCCCTGGCGACTTATGGTAATCACAATATCGAGATTTGTCTAGTTTTTCTTCGGGCATTCGAAGTGGCTTGGGATCTGGCAAAATGCCCTTCCCTTTGATTTCTTCATAAATAGTGGCTGCTCCCGCCGAATATACAGTTTGATAACCGGACTTCACGTCGGTTGCATACTGTTTTCGGGCCGCTCGGACTTCAGGATCATTGGGGTCTCCTCGGGGAGGCCCCCTGAATTGAGTCTTATTTTGCTTGTCGAAAAATTTATTCTTCCTTTTTTCGTCGGTTCCCGCTTTAGAAGACTTTGGGTTAAAGTTAAAATCGGGAACCGACATGGCTTCTTCCGCTATAATGTGCTGCTGGGATCGAGCGAGAAATTCTTGAAAAGTGTTCGTTTTATTTTGGCATAGCGTCCAGCGGAAAATCGAATTCGGTTTCAATCCAGCAATAGCCATGACTAGCAAGGTTTCAGGATGACAAGGTTCTATATTCTGAACTCGGTCATTGAAATGGGCAATATAATCCTTGACACTTTCATCATCTTTTTGAGTGATATTCGCAAGAGACTCTTTTGGGATAAGGCATACTTGAGCCCCGATAAAATGAGATCGGAAAGCCGACCTCAGTTGTTGCCACTTCCAAATTGAATGAGGAGAAAGAGAATGGTACCATTTTTGGGCCCGAGGCCCCAGTGTAAGTGAAAACATACGACACCGAAGTGCGTCTGAGGCCCCATGCAGATCCATCCATGAAGTATAATGACCGAGGTGTGAGTCCAGGTCAGATGTTCCATCATATAGCCCTATCTGGGGGACCTTAACTTTGCCAGGAACTGGTTCCGAAGTGAGCTCCGGAGTAAGGGGAGAATCGGCTTCCAAATACACTTGTGCCGAGGTGGAGGCCCGCCGAGGCGGATCTTCAGGTGCCCGTTGCCGACTTTCCAACTCGACTATTCTTCGTTGCAGTGTTTCAAGTTCGGATGACACTTAACGAGCCCGATTTCGTTCAATATGCTGTCGAAGGTCGGTCTGCGCCGGATTGGAGGGATTTCGGCACTGTGCGTGAGGCGGTGATCGTCGTGAATGACCCGACTGGCTTTCGGCAGTTTCTTCTTGAGGAAGTACAGGAGGATTGCGCCCGGCGTCGGTGCGACGCGTATTTTGTTCCGGAGGCGGTTGTGACATTTGATCACGAGGTTGAGATGTAGCGTGAGATGTTGTCCTTCCGCCGTCTTGTCGCGCTGGTGGATTCTGCCGGTTCGCGGGAGTCGTGGGAATGATGGAGTGTCCCGGAGCAGTCATTGATGTTCCCGACATTGTTTGGGCCATTAAAGCGGCAAAACCACGTGCGAACTCCGGATTTTGAGACAGCACAGCATAATCCGGTATATGTGGGGCCACGGCTTGTCGTCTGGCAGATTGCGCGGCGCTACGACTGTGGCCGTCTCGTGACGTGTGACCACGAGGATCTGAGTGAGACATGGTGGATATGGCTGGTGTGAATTGTCACTTGGAAAAGCGGAGATTGACCTCAAATCACTTATGAGGCCCTCCTTCTAGCGCCAAACTGTTGTTATGTGATTTCTAACAACGATATAACAAGTGATTAAGATGATAATTACGAATGATTTGGACGTAAAGCATGTAGAAATAACTCAACAATGGCCCCGGTCCGAGGTGAACCGAGGTGAAGAGCCGTGATGGGCTTTTGCGTGTTGCATAATAATGTTTTTTGAGTTCGGAGAGAGATCCCCGTACAAATGTCATGGGTTCACTATTTATAGTAATTTTTGGGGGGATACATTGGGATTTGTGTACTACTTTTTGTATAAAGTAGCTTTTGGTGGGCGGTTCGGAGCAGTGGGTCCCGCATGAATGATGACAAATCTCGTAGAGTGTGATGGGTGTGCGTATGCGCCTTGTCACCTGCTTGAGGAGGTGATGACCTCGGTTTGAGTAGACCTCGGTGAACCTTAGTTACTTCGGTCCTTGGTGGTTCAGACCGGTGGCAAAACACCATTAAGAGGTTTTAAGCATCTTGTTAAATGCGATTAACTGTTGAACTGACGTGATTCAGAACCGCACCGATCTACACAAAAGAACCGGTCTGAACCACCAAGGACCGAAGTAACTAAGGTTCACCGAGGTCTACTCAAACCGAGGTCATCACCTCCTCAAGCAGGTGACAAGGCGCATACGCACACCCATCACACTCTACGAGATTTGTCATCATTCATGCGGGACCCACTGCTCCGAACCGCCCACCAAAAGCTACTTTATACAAAAAGTAGTACACAAATCCCAATGTATCCCCCCAAAAATTACTATAAATAGTGAACCCATGACATTTGTACGGGGATCTCTCTCCGAACTCAAAAAACATTATTATGCAACACGCAAAAGCCCATCACGGCTCTTCACCTCGGTTCACCTCAGACCGGGGCCATTGTTGAGTTATTTCTACATGCTTTACGTCCAAATCATTCGTAATTATCATCTTAATCACTTGTTATATCGTTGTTAGAAATCACATAACAACATTGTCATTGGATGAGTTGGATCTGGAAGATCTCGAGTATCCTGAATGCTTGGAGAGGGAATTAACTCCATGGGAGCAAGAGTATTTGGAGGAGATGTACGAGCAAAAGGAGAAGTATGAAAGACAACTCAAGATCATGGAGGAAGAGCAACAAGCTGAGGCCGATGAGAAGTTCCCAGAATCGTGCGAGCAAGAAGCCGAAGTGGTCGAGGTCGAGGAAGAGATCTTGCTCGTGGTCGAAGAGGGCCTTGGCGAGGAGACGTACGTGGAGGACGAAGTGATCGACATCAAGAGTGAGGCCTCTGTCGAGTTCGAAGAAGTCAAGACCGAAGGAGACAAAGTAATCGATGTCGCAAGCGAGATCATGGTCGAAGAGAACCGCGACGCGATGCACAAGGAGGAAAACACGGATGAAGAGATCTTCGAAGTCGAGGTCTTGGTCGAGGTCGACGAGGACTGCGTGTGGGATGTGCATGAGATCGAAGAAGAAGTGCCTGAGGTTTGGATGGTCGAGGATGAGTCCTTGAGGACAAGGACATTCTTAAAGGGGGCGGGAATGATGCGGAAGTGGGTTTCAAGCCCCGACGACAAGAAGGTCCACGAGCCGAGATGACCCGAGGAGGCTAAAAATAGGGCCAAAATGATGCACGCATGGCCTAAAAGACGGGTACGAGTTCGTATGCAAGGTCGCGCATGGAGGTGCGCGAAGGCACGCGAGAAGATAGTCCATAGGCATACGACGTTCGAGCGCAAGAAAAGGCACATTCAAGAAGGGTGCACACGCGCATTGGCGTAGACACGCATGGCGCTTAGAGGTTAGGCGAAGTGGCGCGCAGGGGGAGGTTGTTGGGTGGATGGCGCGCAAGGGGGGTTGCTGCGGATGGACGGGTGCGCATCTAGCGATGGGCGATGCGCGAGCATTGGGCGCGCTGGGCAACAAGCGAGGCACGTTGGGCGAGCGCAAGGCGCTAGGCGATGAGCACGAGACGCTGGGCGACACGCGCAAGGCTCAAGTCAAGACCAGGGTGGCAAGCCTAATCCTCGTACGAATAGGCAAGTCGCGAATACTAATCCCCGCAGGAATAGGAAAAGAAGTTGAGTGCCGGAACGCGCGTGAAAGACTAGTGACGGGAGTAATCCTTGGAAGATTAGGAAACGTAACCGGGAGCATATTCTTAGTAGGAATAGGCAAAATGGATATGGGCTCGAAGCATGATCCTTCAAGGAAAAGGAATGGCATACGCATGGCGCGAGACCTTAAGCCCCAAGGCGAGAGGACATACACGCATGGGCGTAGGCGGTGCAGCCCTAGTCCTCGAGGACTAGGGCGAGGCGTGAGGGCGGCGCAAGACAAGGGGGCAGCCGAACTTGGAGTGGGGAGCAAGTAAGAGGATTGGAGTGCAAGGCAAGGAATTAGAGTGCAAGTCAAGCAATTAGTAGTTATAGTAATATTAAGATTTTATTACCATGTTGCTTTTCATTCTAGAATTAGGAGATCTAGTATAATTAGGCTTAGATTTAATTTATGCATCTATAAATACCCACGTACCCCTTCATTATTGGATGTCTTGGAACATGAGTGAATAGAAAAGGGGAACTTGGTGTTCTAACGTGTGTTAAGCAAGGCCGTAGTGCGTGTTTACATACAAGTGTCGGAGAGAAGGCCATTAGTGCGTCTTAAAGTCACACGTGTCTAAGAGAAGGCCGTGAGTGCATCTGTTAGTCACACCTATCGTGTGTAGTCGAAGGCCCTGAGTGCGCGATTACTCACAACCGAAATAGACAACAACCGCGATCAACCTCGATTCATTCATCAGCACGCCATTGCGCGCTGATACGGAAGTGCTAGGCAGCTCAAGAACGCCGCAAGTCGTTCCTATCACGCACGCAAGAGAATGGCACGGGCCGCAGGCGAGACGCACGTCCTGGAGCAGGAGATGCGCACGGGTCGCGAGAGTAGCCCAACAACAGGCAAGGACGACAGCACGCGACTAGCGTGCGAGACGGGCGAGCGCAGTGTCGCAGGCGCGGGCATGCAGCACTCGCGGGCAACAGGCGCAGCGGGTGCAAGCGCGAGAGATGCGCGCTGCTAGAAAACACGCGCGGGGCTTGAAGCCCTATGCCTCGAGAAATGCGGCAACCTGGGTGTCGTGGGAGAACACGCGCGCGCGAGCGGAGCCAAGGGCGAGGACGTGCGCGACACGCTGGACGGGGGTGCACGCGCTGGGCAAGAAGCCCCAGTCCTCGAGGAGTGCGGACTGGCGGGCAGCCACGCGCGCGGGGGTGGCGCAGCGGATGAAGGCATGCGCGGCACGCCAGGCGGGCGTGCACGTGCGCGAGAAGGCGGCACCCTAGTCCTTGAGGACTAGGTCAAGGGTCGAAGGCAGCGCGCGAGGAAGGCGGTCCGAGGGAGGCGGTGCGCGAGAGAAAAGAGAGAGAGAGAGTTACTTGGAGTGCACACCAAGAGATTTAGTTTCCATCTGGCATTATAATTAGGATTTCTAATATTTTATTGCTTTATTAGTTCTCTAGGTAGATTAGGCTTAGACATATTTTGTGCCTATATAAAGGCCCCTTTGTACTATCTCGTCAATTTCAGTATAAATTATATTTTTAGTTCCGATATTAATCTTCGGAATTAATTATTTTCAGTCTTTTCAGTCGAAATTACCGGAAATTATTTTCGACGTACCGTTTACGTTCGGAATAATTTTGGTAATTAAGCATTATGTTTAATTAAATAATTAAACATAATTGAGGGATTAATTAGTAATTAATCAAAGTATTAGTGAGCAAAAACCGTATGAAATTGTTAGTATTTTCATATAAAAAGCCGTACGGTTTAGTGGGAGTTTGAGAGGAAATTGGTCCAAATTCTCTTCATGATTAAGCATATTAACGTGGCAAGTTATTAAGCTATGAAGTGCTTAGTCATTTTAAACTTTGCTTAATTATGCTACAAGTGTCCTAAGCAACAAGTGAACACATAAACACTTCATCATCATTTTTCCATTCGGTGATGAATTTATAAGGATGGGTTGGAGGAAAATTTCCCACTATTTTCCCACGCATATACTCATTATAAGCCATTTCCCACACTTATGCTCTTTATAAGCTAAAGTCGTACGTTCAGCCATTATAGTTATATTTAGCATGAATTCAGCCTATATATATATATATATATATATATATATATATATAGTTCCGATGGATAAGTGAAGCTAGTGAGGATTTTTGGAGTGTCGATCGTGAGCAATTGCTGAGAGCTTTCCGCACGCCGTCGCACATCCATCGCGTACACTCAGCAATTCGTCCGCCGTGTCGCAAGTCAGTTAGTAACCCCAGCAAACACTGCGCGGGTAATCACACGCTAGCAGCAAGTGTCGCACGCGTACCGCAGCACACCACGGT